AATGCTGGTGAGTCGCCCCAAAGAGACGATGTTTTTTCAGTAGAGTCTCGGTACCAGAGGGCGTGACCCCCATTGTTGTTGGTCTATGGGATTCCCCCAAAAAGATAGTTAAAAGATGTTAAAAGTAACTTCCCAACAAGATGGTGATGCATTGAACCTGTTCAAATAATCTTTGTTGGGGGCCCACTGGGCCCACTGGGCATTGCCGCCATTGCCGCCATTGCCATGCGGACATCCCCTGGGCATGACCAGGTGGAATTCTATTACGCCAGTACCGATATCGACTCGATTGAGGTACGCCATCCCACCACCGCCGGATACCGCCGGACTCTGCATGGAACGGATGTGTTTTTTTTGGTTACCCATTGAGTCCATGTTGCGTCATGAGGCTACCAAAGAAATTTTTACTGCTCCTTGGTTTCTGCCCAAGAATGACAAGAATGACTTAAGTAGATAGACTGACAAATCTCGCCAAAATTGAGGGATTCGAAGAATTCAAAGTGAAGTTCACAATTTTTTTTTCCCTATTTTTCAACCAGCTGTAGGTCTGCCGGTACATTCCATCCAGGTGTAGCGTCGTTTCAGGTCGTGGGAGTCTCCAGTTTGATACCATGAGTGGGAGATGATAGATACGCACGCGTGGATTTTTTTCCACACCCATAGGATCCATGTATGTTATATATGGTAACATTTACCATCAATATACCCCCAATGTTAGCATATATACCATACATGGATCCTATGGGACATGCTTTGATGAAGACCCACTACCAAGGTTTTCAACAGACATTTGCATCGGGTTTGTCTGAAAATAGGAGATGGTTTCAACTCGGAAGCCACATGAACCTCCCATGGTTTCATTGTCGTGACAGCCGTAAATCGGGGGTATCCTCCAACATCATTGTGAGTCACGCCACCAGGGGCCTCACTATTGAACCACATGTGTCACCCATTGTTTGGATGTGTTCCAAAACTGAGACCGCAACTCATCCAGAACTGATCAATTTCATAACTAGGTTCCCAGGGTCCCGGGGTAGAACGTTGACATCTACCCCGCGCCGCAATATTGCATGGCTACATGTGCCATGCTCTTTCTGTAGCCCATTTTCGATAGGGTTTTGATTGACAGGGGCAGGAATCCGAGGGACAACACTGGGCGAGAATCTTAACGACTTGGACATGGCCAGAGCCATGGCCCTATCTTGGACTCATTTTCAGCTTGGGGCTATGAAATCATCATACCAAGTGGCTATATACCCAATTTCATGAACCCAATTTGCCCAATCTCAGAAAGCCAATTTGGGACGGTCTGTGAAATTGCTTTGCCACACATTTTTCACTCATCTTGCGTACCCTGTTATGGAGCTACGTCAAAACACTGAATTTATCCATCCGAGCTCCTCAGCATCTGAGCTGAACAAGCGCGCTGCCGGTGCAAAGCCAGAAAACTCAGTGGGGCCGGCGAGTTATGCTGGGTTTCCTTCAGGGAACATCTGGAAAGCAACCCCCAAAAAGATGCCGAACAGTTATGAAAAGCTGGAAGTATGTGGAAAACATCATCTAGAATCTAGAATCTATACCATCTATACCATCCTAGAAACACTTTTCTATCCTTTTGGGGCTTGGTAATTTGGAAACCGTGAAACCGTGAAACCTTTGACCATCCATATGTAGAAAAACATGCCGCACCCTTTCCCTCAAAGCCATTGCTAGTGAATTTCCAGCTGATTGCTCAGGTGTATATGATTGTCCCTGTTGTTTTCTTTTGCACCATCAAGCTGCGAGTCGCAGTCGACTGCAAAAAAAAAATGCTAACGGTAATCCCATCCCCCAGCCTCACTACCCAGACCCCGAAATGAATAGATCCAGTACTGAACCAGGGCTTGTAGGGGAATATTTAATAATAATGTAATATTGCGGGAAGGATTTCATCTTTTTTGAAAACTGATTTTTCTCATCCAGTGTGGCATGTCTGTTCGAAAGCCCATTGAATTCAATGTCCTTTGATACTTCAAGGATGTTGAAGCTGGGTAGATCATGTCAGCTATGGCAAGTGGGTCCAAAAATCCAAATTGTTGAGGACCCAAATATGATCCTCATGAAACCTGCACATACTCATGACTTATAGATTGATCTACTCTGGTAATCTATCCTGACGATGAAGAACTGCGGTAATCTACCTCGTTATGTAAGCGGAGTATCATCAGCGTCTTTCATGGTTTAGATGTCATATTAGGCCATGTTTATCGTCTACCCTCTGGTAAACTAACATAACTATTGAAAATTACCATGTTTAATGGGAAAACTCACTATAAATGGCCATTTTCAATAGCTATGTTAGTTTACCAGAGGGAAGTATCCATGTGTCCCAATCAGCCAGACATCAACCGAGGTTCACCGGCATGGCACTGCTGCAGTGTTGCTTTGAGAGTCAGGGAAGCCCAGAGGGCCAGGATGGGCCAGGCATGGCCAGGCCCCTTCCGCCGACCTCCGAGCTACCCAGGTGCTGATTATGTCGAGTTGATTCAGCTAGAGGATGAGACACAAGATGGACATGTCTCGAGCTCAGTCAACTGGGAATGGCATGGGAATGGTCGTGGGATTTAACCGAGCAAAGTTCAAAACCCAGGTTGATTGATGAATATATTAGGGAATTGTACTATCGAATATGTTGGGGATTATCACAATCCACAAACTGGGAAATCGTAGCAACTAGCCAGTATAAAGGGACGACAGAAGGTTTCAAATACTGCTAAAATGCTTATTGATTGGTCATTTACTCGAGGATTTTATCACAAAATGTGGGGTTTAGGCAGCAAAAAATGAGATGCCTACAGTGTAGTGTAGTATCCCCAACAAGATAGACAAGCGAAATCCGACCAAAAGAGTGACACTTTGCCTTTCCATTTTTTGGGAGTTAGAGTTATTTGAGATAGTGTATATATAATTATATATATGTAATTATTATATATATATAGCGCATATATATCCAAAAACCTGGAGATGTTCGAGGAACATCATGTATAAAAAGGGTGATTTACAGTTTCCATCATTTATCAGGGTCTTAACATGCTTTAACCTTCAAGAAGATGGGGGGCGTTTGATAAACGATGGCTGGTTGATGGTTGATTTGTTATTACCCTCCTTGAAATGTTTCCATAGATGTAGATCATTTACCGAACGAGTTTTCCCATGGGCTTCCTCATATCTTTGTATGTTTACCCTAAGGTAAAAACCATTATTTTCGTTGCTTGAATCCCAATAAATCCCATCCCGTTAACATCCCATGACAACATCCATACACATTATCCACGTTAGTCTACCCTAGGGAACCTTGGGGATTATTATTACCTACCAAACTTCGGTTGAACGCTGCTTAGGTCACCCGCACGCTGAGCAAGATCCAGGCTGTGGTGGAACGAATTTCATCGGGAAATCCCAAGATTTTTCTAAACAATAGATGACTAATGGTGATTCAGGGGGTAGTGGGAACTATAATAGAACAAATAACTAGGGTTCATGATATATATATATATAACTATAACTGTAATTAATTGGTTTATAGATTACCAATACCAATAATGGTGATTAATAGGGATTTCAGCAACAAACATTAGGCTATTAATGAGATATACCCTCACGTGTCATCAAATGTGGCAGGCTGGAAAAGACTCCATTTAATTCGATGACGGATGATTTTCCCGATCTATAAACTAGACTATAAACCTCCATTTAGTTCGGGGATTTTCCAGCTAGCCATGTTGGAGTACCAGAGGTTGTGTAGTGTTCATTGACCAAAATTCCCATTCAGGTCATCCATATTCCATGTATGGTATAATATGCAACAACATTGATTGCCATCAGAATGATGCATGTGTGAAGGGAAAATGCCATACTCAAAATGAAGATGGAACATTTTTTCTTGTTTGGACACAGATAGCTGGTGGGGAAATCACATTTCCAAATGCAGCATTTTGCGCTCAGCTTGCGCTGCAAATACCACTTTATAAATATGGATAAATATGGTAATTATAGCTAAGAGACCCCAATCCCGCGTGCCAGAACATTCATGGACACCTAAAGGACATCACATCAAATTTCAAAACAACAATACAAAACATAATATAAACAATGCTAATGACATTCAAACTCTACTGTTTTCTGAGTTGTCTTGCTATCCCACGCAGTCAGTTTTCTCCAGCCACCGTAGAGTCTTTCAACGGCTTTGTGGTTCAATCCAGTCAGCATGTGGGCAACTCCTGCTGGGATCTCTAAGCAGTGGCACAAAAGCGCCAGGCTTTGAGGTCGAAGGTCTGCGGACTTGCCTGCATAGCTGAAGAAGGGGTGGTTGTGAAGCCAGTGTGTTCGGCGACGGCAATTCTTCTTGGAGCAATAGAACCACTGCCACTGTGACTTTTCCTTCTTCAACTTGGACTGCTTGCACCATGGGCAGGTCTTGTCTGTCCAGTCCCGAGCTAGCTTCTGGCCAACCAGGAAAGACTTCATGTCACTTTCCTTCATGCATCCCAGCTTCAAAGCATCAACAGTCCACTTCTGCGTGCGCAAAGACCGTCTACCTTGGTTCACAGCTTGCTCTGATGGCACGTAGTTCACAACTAAAGCCTTTTGCCGCCTCCGGATTGGCGCTAGTGCAGCTCGTTGCTTTCCCTTTTTCGGCCTCCACGTGTGGGCAACCTTCCCCTTTTTGATTGTTTTCTTAACTGCATGGCGCTTCCTGCGCTTCATTTGCTTCATTGCAGCGGGAACCCAAGCGAACTTGAGCTAAGATTGCAAAGCATTCTCGAACTGAAACTTTTACCACGTGTATAAGGCATTTTCCAAGCATATTATGCTAATTTCATACCCCTATGGCATACCCAAAAGGGTACGTACCAGAGGGGTCTCTTACCTAATTATACCACAAATATAGGATATCCATAGATAACCAACGATAACCATGAATATGGTTACCATACACCCAGATTTCCGCGTATTCTTTCCACGACCCAGCACGCTGTACCCTTCGACGCTGTGCCATGGCTGAAGCGTCGACAGCGGCATTTTTGGTACCTGTGGTGGTCCAAGATGCACCGCAGTATGGTGACGCAGCAGAACTGGGCAGAAGGCATGAATATGAATCCCACGAAAATGGATCAAATAAGTGATACATAGTGATACTTGGTGTGTATATATATATATATACACACTACATAGAGTTGTTCAATGTTATTCACATAGATAAGATATAATGTATTATGACATATTGCAAATATATGATAATATGTATATATAAATGTACTATAGATATAGAGCATTATATCAATATATATATATATATATCAATCCAACACATGTTATAAGACTCATACGTTGGGACCTACAGCTTTTATTGAATAGTACTGGTCGTGTTCGCTATTGGTCACTATTCAAGCACCAAACTATTAGAAAATTATTATGCCCTGGGACCAATTGATTTTGCTTGTGGTGCATTCCAATGTATACATGCACGTATATAATATACATATCCCTATGGATCCAATACCTTCGAAGTGTTTGAGGTCTAAGACTGGAACCTTCAAGTCTTCAAGTACCTTCGAAGTGTGTGGATCCATGGGTCTACGCTAATATAACATGTGGATGATCAGACCATCCCATGAGTGGGTCTTTTTTTAGGTCTTTGGGCTGCCAGGGAAGCCATGAATAGAACACAAAAATGCAGCTAAAAGGGCAATAAAGCTAGACGTGAATGACCACAGACCAGCATAAAAGCCCATTTTTAGTCATAGACTAAGTCACTTTCAAGTCCAATCAACCACCATCAAACTGCCATATGATCTGATGAAATATGATGAAATCAACCAACATTACTTGAAAATCGAATGACCCCCACCCTGAAACCACTATTCTGACATGGTTTCTGAGATACCATCTGGAAGTGTATATATATATATATGGCATATTTATTCTGACATTCTATCTGACATTCTTTCTGGGATATACTTTGACATTCTATCTGACATTCCACCTGGCATCTATTCTGACATACTTTCTGGCATATATTCTAACATTATTGCTTCTGGAATTTTATCTGGCATCTATTCTGACACTCTTTCTCGCATTCTATCTGACATTCTCTCTGGCGTCTGGCTGAGGTCCGGGAGTGCCCAGTGAGATCTGGCGCTCGCTGCTGAGGTCCAGTGCCCACTGAGATCTGGAGCTCGCGGTTGAGGTCCCGCAGTGCCTACTGAGATCTGGCGCTCGTGGTTGAGGTCCAGCAGTGCCCACTGCTGTCTGCAGCGCGCGCTTAAGGATTTGGAGGACGAGGAGAAGGAGGAAGAGGAGGAGGACGGGACGCACCTTGGAAAAAATCTAGAGAGACCCTCACCTGGCAGGCGGGAAAAAAACACCATAAAATCACCATAAACGCCATGAAACCTGTCTTGGGGCAACCCTTTTGCTGGCGCCAGCGCGGTGCTATCGAAGGTGAAGGTCATCGTGGCGTTTTTGCCGCGGCGCGGATTCCACGCGGCACACAGATCTGGACGATGACCGTGGCTTGAACGATGACTGTGGGGAAGCGCCGAAGCGTGGAGAGTTTTTGGGGGTATAGCACCTAGAATATCTTAGAATATCTTAACTATAGTTGGTACTAATCATTATTGTCAGTTTGTGGGTTATTATGGTTATAGTTAGTTTGTCATACCAATTTAGTACTACCTTAGTTATTTTGGTTTTATAGGATTTGATCAGAGAGGATTTTGATACAATCCAGTAAACCCAATAATAAATTCACAAAAGTAATTTCATATTATTAACCATTAATATAATGATACCTATAATCATAGATCCATTTTGAGTGTGATTTTTTGGAGCTATAGATATACTATCAGTGAGACAGTGATTATTAGTATTTTTAATAGTTATATGATTCCATGATTATAGTTATTTTAGTACTACTGTTCAAAAGTATCACTACTATACTTTTAGCTATCAGGAAGTTATTTTGTTGGTTAATCATCTTCGGTTATTATAGGGGTTTATGATGTGTCAGAATGTGATTTTTCACCATCAATGATGGGGATTTACGGGATCCCGGGAAGATCACCAGCTTCTTGGGAGACTTTTTCTGCGTGGCAAAAGGCAGAAACACCAAAAATCAGCCAGTAAACCAAAATCCTGTGGGTCGCTATCTCTGAACTTCTCTGATAAAAAAGGACACGGTCAGAATGGCGAAGCAGGGAGATCTTTCTCCAACAAAAAACACATCTACAACCCGATTCCTGGACCCTCAAAACGATGAGGCCAAGTTATACTTCTGCTCCTGTCCGATGTTACAGCCCTGGAAACAGTTCCATTCATGAAAGTGGTTTATAGTTCACCATAGTTATAGGGGCCCCATATCCCAATTTGTGGAGGTGGTTACCATTTATTACCATAGTTAGTTAGACCCATTAGTAACCCGTAGTTGATAGCCATTCTATATAGGAAAATCATCATTTTCATCACCTATAAATGGAACATGTTCCACAGTGATGTTAGATAATCATAAATAATCCATAGTTATACCCATGAATAATCGTTATTAATCATTATTAAACCGTATTAATCCCCATTAATTCACCATTGTTCAGCCATTTTTGGTTCACCCCAAGCCAGATCTCCAGTGGCCAGGACATGGTGGAGATGGTGCACCATAGCGAAGTGCGCCAGCGCTTGCAGGCCATGACGAGGGAAGATGCCGCGGTCTTCGTGCGCCAAAGTTGCGTGATGCCCGAGAATTTGGAGCGGCTCTTTGTGCCCTGGAGACACGAAGGAGACACGACTACTGGACCGATGTCGATCGATGTCGATAGCTCAATAGGTTATAGCTGTTGCTGTAAGAAGTGTAAGAATGTCTGACTTTTTCAAGGTTCAGTGAGGCTATAGAAAATAAGGTTTGGAAATTCAATAGCTGTTGCTGTAAGAAGTGTAAGAATGTCTGACTTTTTCAAGGTTCAGTGAGGCTATAGAAAATAAGGTTTGGAAATTCAATAGCTGTTGCTGTAAGAAGTGTAAGAATGTCTGACTTTTTCAAGGTTCAGTGAGGCTATAGAAAATAAGGTTTGGAAATTCAATAGCTGTTGCTGTAAGAAGTGTAAGAATGTCTGACTTTTTCAAGGTTCAGTGAGGCTATAGAAAATAAGGTTTGGAAATTTAATAGCTGTTGTTGTAAGAAGTGTAAGAATGTCTGACTTTTTCAAGGTTCAGTGAGGCTATAGAAAATAAGGTTTGGAAATTTAATAGCTGTTGTTGTAAGAAGTGTAAGAATGTCTGACCTTTGCAAGGTTCATTGAGGCTATAGAAAATAAGGTTTGGAAATTCAATAGCTGTTGCTGTAAGAAGTGTAAGAATGTCTGACTTTTTCAAGGTTCAGTGAGGCTATAGAAAATAAGGTTTGGAAATTTAATAGCTGTTGTTGTAAGAAGTGTAAGAATGTCTGACTTTTTCAAGGTTCAGTGAGGCTATAGAAAATAAGGTTTGGAAATTTAATAGCTGTTGTTGTAAGAAGTGTAAGAATGTCTGACTTTTTCAAGGTTCAGTGAGGCTATAGAAAATAAGGTTTGGAAATTTAATAGCTGTTGTTGTAAGAAGTGTAAGAATGTTTGACCTTTGCAAGGTTCATTGAGGCTATAGAAAATAAGGTTTGGAAATTTAATAGCTGTTGCTGTAAGAAGTGTAAGAATGTCTGACCTTTGCAAGGTTCATTGAGGCTATAGAAAATAAGGTTTGGAAATTCAATAGCTGTTGTTGTAAGAAGTGTAAGAATGTCTGACTTTTTCAAGGTTCAGTGAGGCTATAGAAAATAAGGTTTGGAAATTTAATAGCTGTTGTTGTAAGAAGTGTAAGAATGTCTGACCTTTGCAAGGTTCAGTGAGGCTATAGAAAATAAGGTTTGGAAATTTAATAGCTGTTGTTGTAAGAAGTGTAAGAATGTCTGACTTTTTCAAGGTTCAAAAGGCTGGAACTTTTTCAAGGTTCAGTGAGGCTATAGAAAATAAGGTTTGGAAATTCAATAGCTGTTGCTGTAAGAAGTGTAAGAATGTCTGACTTTTTCAAGGTTCAGTGAGGCTATAGAAAATAAGGTTTGGAAATTTAATAGCTGTTGTTGTAAGAAGTGTAAGAATGTCTGACTTTTTCAAGGTTCAGTGAGGCTATAGAAAATAAGGTTTGGAAATTTAATAGCTGTTGTTGTAAGAATTGTAAGAATGTCTGACCTTTGCAAGGTTCATTGGGGCTATAGAAAATAAGGTTTGGAAATTCAATAGCTGTTGCTGTAAGAAGTGTAAGAATGTCTGACTTTTTCAAGGTTCAGTGAGGCTATAGAAAATAAGGTTTGGAAATTTAATAGCTGTTGTTGTAAGAAGTGTAAGAATGTCTGACTTTTTCAAGGTTCAGTGAGGCTATAGAAAATAAGGTTTGGAAATTTAATAGCTGTTGTTGTAAGAAGTGTAAGAATGTCTGACCTTTGCAAGGTTCATTGAGGCTATAGAAAATAAGGTTTGGAAATTCAATAGCTGTTGCTGTAAGAAGTGTAAGAATGTCTGACTTTTTCAAGGTTCATTGAGGCTATAGAAAATAAGGTTTGGAAATTCAATAGCTGTTGCTGTAAGAAGTGTAAGAATGTCTGACTTTTTCAAGGTTCAGTGAGGCTATAGAAAATAAGGTTTGGAAATTTAATAGCTGTTGTTGTAAGAAGTGTAAGAATGTCTGACCTTTGCAAGGTTCATTGAGGCTATAGAAAATAAGGTTTGGAAATTCAATAGCTGTTGCTGTAAGAAGTGTAAGAATGTCTGACTTTTCCAAGGTTCAGGCCACTTTTTGGCCAAAGAAAATAGGGGAAGCTGAGACATTGTTGGTGCTGCTTTTTGGTTTCCATCCTGGGATATGATTCCCCTGCCGAAAGCACCAATTCTGACCGAGGTAAATCCACGAGACGCAGGGCGCTTCATCAACCATTCCTCCTCGCCCAACCTGGGTTTTGAGGGGGCGCTCAGAGACATTTCGGAGGGAGAAGAGATTGTGATGGATTACAACCAGCATGGAGACCCAGCATCTTGGAGATGTCATCCGTTGGATCCGAGGGGCCAGCAGCTTTTTATTGGTGAGGGAACCCCCAAAGAAAGGGCCCTAGGGGGCCATGATTTGATCTGTGTTTTTTTCAAGTCCTAAGTTGGATGTTTCAAAAATGTTCGCTTGACTGCAGTTAGCTGGTTATTTGAGTGCTACAATGCTTATCGCTTGCGATTTTTTGGCTCAACTCAAGTGCTTGCTTGTAAAGATATCAGGGTACTATTGGATGAAAAACATTTGTTGTTTCCAGTCATTTCCAGCAAAAAAATCGAGAAGATCGAGAAGGAATGATGCCAGATGCTGCAGCTGAGGAGTGGTATCGCGAACTTTGTGCTGAATACAGAGTTCTGACAGAACGTCAAGTGGCCGCGCTCGCGCCCACGGAACCATTGAGAACCCAGCCGCAAAAGTGTGTCTGGGTTGGGGTTTGATGGATGCCTCTATTTAAAACGATGGTAAATCCACTGGCTTGACAAGTTTCCGATAACTTCCAACATGGTGTACCATCAAGTCTGTAGAAATTATAAAGTTTGAAACCATCTTTGATTAAAGTATGATATACTGTAAGGTGGTGCCTCATAGTTAGCTAAGTTGGTATTATTGTATATGATTATTATGACTATGGTTTGTGGTATATATCATATATGATATAATTGTTATAAATGGTGATAAATGGGGATTTACAACGATTTGTAGTCGATTAAAGTGGATGTATCATCACTGCCGCCCACCTTTTTGGAAAGAATTTTGTCAAACTTTTTGTTGTTTCAAATTGCTCAGTGGTGAAATCACCATTTAGATTAAATCCACAATGTTGGGTAAATCATGTCAAATCCTAAATTCAAGCGATGAAAGCCAACCTTTTCTCGAAGGGAAATCCGCATGTTTCTTGGTGAAAGGTAGGGGTTCAATGCCAGTCTTGCTTGGCTAAACCCATTTAAATCCTCATTGTTAGGATAAACCTAGATGAAATCCACATTTCTTGCTTGGTTAAATCCTGATTATTTGGTTGGCAAATCTACCAGCACCGGGGTTGCAGGAGACGCGGCGTCCGCGACGTCTCCCTGAGATCATCTGTGCCATCAGCGTCACCGCGTGACGTGGCGACCGAAGATGAACCGGTCATTTTTCGCCCTAAGAAATGGGATTTTGCAAGGATATAGTGACTATAGTGGGATATAAATTAGAATTAACCATTGTCAGCTGGTGGGAGCAAGCCTGCCCCCAATAGGTGTGTCTGAAAATGTTATGGCATTCATCAACCAATTATATGCATATGGCTGGTTGGTGGTTTGGAACATGAATTTTATTTTTCCATTCAGTTGGTAATCTCATCATCCCAACTGACGAGCATATTTTTCAGAGGGGTTGAAACCACCAACCAGGTGGGATATAATTTAGAATTACATAACAATAATCCAAGACACTTATCTATATATATATATATAAATACATATATATATATAAGAGTATTTCTAGGTTTTTTAGAGGGATGTGGATAATAGGGATATATGATGATGTATGTTTTTTTGATATTTCGTGAAACACTATGAACATTTTTGGATAATTTTGGATATATGTATGATTTTTTTGGGATATGTTTCTGAAATATGAATGGAATATGGCAATATGATGCAATATGGGTGTGTCTGAAAATATGGTAGGTCCCCCATCTAATAGCCATTTAAAAACGGGATAGTGATCATGGCTAGCATTGGGTTTAGGGTATTTTTCTATTTTCAGACCAACCCGTAGTGGGATATAACCATAATCCAAGAAACCATAGATTATGTAATGGGATGTAATGGGATGTAACTGAGAACAAAAAAACACAAGACAAACAGGGACTCAAGTATCAAAAGTAGAGGTTATTCCCTTCCCCCTAAGATTGAACATCCGCAAGAAACCATGGCGTGATAGGGGATGAAATCACACATTGGGGACCATACAATGAGCCTGTTGAATATTGGGGGATGGGATTGTCAAGGACTTACTCCCCTTACCCTGATGGAATGTTTTGGAACGATTTGTGGGGCCCCAAGAGGAGTTATGTTTGTGGCTCAGGTAGTTTTCTCAACATATTTCAGTCGTCAAGTTCCGAAGGGATGAAACTGACGCCAATGAAGAAAGGAATACTGGAAGTGGTGATCATAACTCAAGTGAATGATGTCGGTATGTCTTTTTTTTTAGCTGGAAGACTTCATGTGGTTAATACCACCCTTGCGATTTCTGGGACGCACATCCACGTATTTTTGGACAATTGGACGATTTGCAATAGGGACGGGCTTACTGGCATGCAAGGCGGTCTTTCTTGGCTGGTCAAAGAGTACGGGAATACATCAACTGGTGAACAGGCCAGGGATTCATCAATGGATTTATTCAAAAAACAACTATAGTAACTACAGGAAAGCGTGGTGTTTAAACCTTTCCCATGTGGTGATTATAGTGTTTTCTCTAAATTGATTCATCCAATTCTTTCAATGAAGTGCAATCATGATAAGGAAGCCTCAAGATTGTGTTCCGTATCTGCTAGCGTTGTTGGAAGCCTGCTGATCCTATCCCTATTAAACACCCCATTGTATGGAGGTTTCCCATGGGGGTATCCCCAGATATCATCCAGCTATTCATAGGCTTTTCCCGGAAATAAACCATCCAGCTATTGGGGTAGCTCCATTTCAGGAAACCCCATTGTATGGTCCCAAAGATGTGTCCAAACATCCCTTACTAAACCATGTTTTTTCTGCTGGATTTGAGGTTGGGGATGACTGCTGGTGCTTTGGGTGGCCAGAGGCGCCGCCGCAAACTGCTGGTAGTGTTGAGCGTCAGACGTCCGACTGAAAAAAGGGGTTCAACATGGTTCAATACATATGGTTGCATATGGTGAACCATGTTTTCCGGATGAAGAATTACGGAAATTTATTTTGATCAGTCCATGTGCCCTCTAGTATTCTGAATTGAAATAGCAGATGTTGCACTGGTCACGACATTGCATTAGTTGGAAGCACGTGCATCATACAAAAGCTGGGGCATGAAGGTAGCGTGTATATAACGTATATATATATATATATATATAGTACAACATCACACGGACCCGCCTGCACATCTGGATGTATTTGGATGGTTAACACCAGGGGACATGTTTGCCATCAAAATATAGTTTGATGGATAATACGCAATTATTTGTACACTATTCTTTTGTAATTATGTGATATTTGTTGTACATATTCGGATGGGATAGTTCTTGATGTGTGTACATATATATATATATGTGTGTGTGTGTGTGTTGGGCATATGCTCATATCTCTGTACATATGCACAGTAAAATTAACGCACGGTGAATGTAGATCCTTTTCAGATACCGGGATACCCATAGATTTCCATATGTTTCCATTAAATTGCCACCGAATGTTTTTCTTTGCATCATGCAAAACAGATAGAAATGTAGCAGAGAAGCAAAAACACCTACTAAAACAGTGGCAACGTACTTTTATCTTTTTCGGGTTTATGTAATCTTATATATATAATATACACATAACATATGATATACAGATATACATTACATTTGGGTAAATTATAATGACCTCACTGCGACCTCAAAGAAGTAATGCTTCCTAAGGGGAATTATCCCAAGAAGAATCCCTATTTCAGATTTGTGAATTATTGTAATTTGACCAGATACAGATATATATTATACATATACATATATTATACATATACATATATTATGCATATACATACATATTCATGCATATACATGCATATATATATATATACACCCTCTGATAATTTCAACATAGCTATGAAGAATCACCATTTTTAATAGGTAAATCATCAAGAAACATCTATTTCTATGGGCCATTTTCCGTGGCTATGTGCATCGTCAGGCTTTGGGCCATGCTGCGAGATCGCCGGGGGATCCTGGAGAGATACCGTGGGGATACAATGGGGAAGATGTAGATATGATATATATATATATAATACATATATTAGACATATATATATATATATTTGACATATATATATATATTTGACATATAAATAATTATATATATATATGACATATATATATATATATGACATATATATATATATATATACAATGGATACAATGATATCTAGGGATAGAATGGGGATACAACGGATAAATATATTTTTATGGGTATGGGTCAAAATTATGTGAATATTATATAAGGAGACAATGGGTACATGTACATATAATGGACACAGCTGTGCAAAAAAGGGTATGCTGGGTATCAAAATTACAAGGTGGTTGGTTTTAGAAACCAATGAAACTTTTGGTTACCGTTGCCAATAATGTGGGTAAAACAAAAAAAACAATCCCCCAGTCATCACCATTTTTATAGGTGGTATAAATGATTCCCAGTCATGGGTGGTTTATTTATGGCATTGTTTTACCCACCCAGAAACCATTTTTAAACCTTCGCCAAGTTAAACGTCAACTTGGCTACCCAAGGGGCCTGAAGGTGATGGCAGATAGGGGAGCTGATCCTTCTGACCAGTCATTTTTTTTTTTTCGAGATACCCTCTGGTAAACTAACATAGCTATTGAAAATGGCCCAATTATAGTGGATTTAGCCATTGAAAATGGTGATTTTTCATAGCTATGTTATAATATACACATAACATATGATATACAGATATACATTACATCTGGATAAATTATAACGACCTCACTGAGACCTCACTGGAATAATGGTTAGTAAGGGGAATTATCCAAATATGGTCTTATTTCAGGTTAGTGAATTTTTATAGTTTGCCCCAGATACAATGGGCTTGTGATTGGGATCTAGCGATATAATGGACGGAGAAGCAGCCAATATTAGTGCCAGGGGTATGAATTGGATGGTATATTGATATGTTGTCGCCATGTTGAGGGATGGTCTTCAACCCATGTTCATAGGGATTGATTTATACCCACTATGCTTGGATTGGCATGGGATGGATGACCATGAAATGACAAATTTCGTTTTTTTTTTGCGCTTCTAAAATGATGTAAGGATGACCATATGTGTCCGCATCACAGCAACTTGTGGCCATCCCCTTCCAGTCCCAACCGACCAACGAGACCATTGAAATGGCCACAAAATGGAACTCCCCCAATTTGGATGGTCAAATGGCCGATCTGCTCGGTGAAGGATGGTTTAAGGGAGCGTTGACAGGTCGCCCGCATAGTTTCCCAATTTAAAAAAAGGTTTTCCCACAAGCGTTTCATCAAACCTATCCAATGAAGGTGATATTTATTGGGTAAAAAAAAGAACACGTCATAAATTTGGATTTCCGAATGCCAATCAAGCAAATCAATGGCAATCCAATATTTTAAATTCGCATTTTCAGAGTCTGAACTCATCTCCCTACGAGGCACTGAAGATTGGTGTCAGGAGAGGTTGGAGTCGGTTGGACACCTGGGAAG